CAGAGGAACAGAGAATCCAGGTGGTGAGAAGTTCAGGTAGATTACTGGATAAAACAGACTGTCTGAAATAGAGGGAGAAGTTAATGGGATATAAGGTAACCACAATGGTGGGATAGGGATGGGGGCTTTAGGGGTAGGTGGAGGGAGGCAAAGGGTAAGGACTGACACATCATAGTTTGGGTGTTGAGGAGGGTAATACCAGAAGGGGGAGGACATGGAAGGACAAGGTATATAGGAGAACACTGAGACAGGTTTGCATGGGCTAAGTGGGATAGAGGTAAATAGTGTTGTATGCTCAACCTTGGAACAACAGGGCTCTGTGATACAGGGATCTAGACATAGTTTGAAGAGGGAAAAAAATACTAACATGCTTGAGTATCTTATGAATACTGGTTTCCCTTGCCTACTATTGTAAAGTAGACACTTGAGTGGGATAGAAAGGAATGTCGGGAAACATGATTACAGAAAACTTGTAAGCCCATCTTCAGCCTATACTGATTGGAATACCTAAAAGAGGTTCTAGAACTTGTCCAGTGAAATAGTCCTCTTGCGGAGCCTTTGCAGAGTATAGGACCTTAGGTGGAATCATATCCAGAACCTTTCCCACTAGAAAGTACAAGCAGACCAACCTGGAATCACTAGAGTGACAGAAGATTTACATTCAACAAGTTCTGTGATTTGTTGAATATAAAACTGATTATCTGCCCTGTAAACTTTCATTCAATCCACAATAAAAACTTAAAGAAAAAAAGAAGATGGAAGGAACACATTGTCACTGTACCAAAAAGAAATGGTAGACGATGATGAAACCATTTTAAGAGGTACCATATAACCATGACCCAGTGGTACTGATGGGAGCAATTCAAACTGCATTGAAAGCATTATTGGAAAACAAAGCTCCAAGAATTTACAGAATACATGTTGAAATCTTTCAACAAACTGATGCAGCATTGAAGATACTCACTCATGTGTGCCTAGAAATTTGGAAGATAGCTACCTAACCAACCAGTTGAAAGAGATCCATATTTGTGCACATTCCAATGCTAGGTGACCCAACTGAAAGTAGAAATCATCAAACAATATCATTAATGTCACACATAAGTAAATTTTGCTGACAGTCATCAAAACGATGCATCAACAGGCAATTGTCAGAAATTCAAGCTGGATTCACAGCAGAATGTATATAGAATGAGGAATATCACTGTTGATATCAGATGAATTTTCCTGAAAGTAGAGAATTCCATAAAGATGTTTACATGTACTTTATTGATTATGCAAAATCTTTTAACTGTGTGGATCATGACAAACTGTAGACAACATTGCAAAGAATGGGTATGCCACAACACAGAACACTTAATTGTGCTCATGATAAACCTGTACATGGTAAACCAAGATGGAGTGGTTCGAACAGAACAAAGAGATACTGAATGATTTAAAATCAAGAAAGTTGTGCCCAGGGTTTCATTCTTTGACCATACTTATTCAGTCTGCGTGCTGAGTGAATAATACTAGAAGTTATATTGTATGGAGATGAACATTTAATCCGGATTTGAGGAAGAATAATTAACAACCTTAGATATGCAGATCCTTGCTTGCTGGTAGTCATGAAGACTTAAATACTTACTGATGAAGATCAAGGATTACAACCTTTAATATGGATTGCACCTCAGTATAAAGAAAATCAAAATCCTCACAACTGGACAAATAAAAACATCATGATAAATGGAGAAATTATTGAATTTGTCAAATACTTTATTTTGCTTGGAACTGCAATCCATACTCATGGAAACAGCAATCAAGATATCAAAATCCAATATGCTTCAAAAATCCTCTTGAAAGTATTCAGAGCTAAGGTATCAATATGCAGACTAAAGTGTGCCTGACCCAAGCCATGGTATTTTCAGTTGCCTCATATGCATGTAAGAATTAGATATGAATAAGAATGATCATGTAAGAATTGGTACATTTGAATGATGGTATTGGAGAAGAATATTGAAAGTACTATTGTCTACCAGAATAAATACAACCAGGATGGTGATGTACATAGTGCCACTGTGAGTCAGAGCCAACTCAACAGCATCTAGCAACAATAACAACAACTTCAAGTCTCCATTGCCACATAAATTAACATATTCACCTCTTCTAGAGATTAGTATTTAGATGTCCTTGAAAAGCCATTGTTCTATAGAAGAGTTACTTTTCTAATCCCTCAGTACAGGACAATGAGTTCAAGGAAAGCTTTCTAGATTTTTAGCATAAGTGTGAAGGACAAGTAGACATTAATTAAGCTAAAAAGGGATACAAGTTATGGTAATGTCTAGAACAATGTATGTTCAAAATGGCAGGAGACAAATGCAAGTTCTAGCAATTGAAGGATTCTAGGTATAGCAGGATTTAACATAACAGAAGCAGAAACACTTTTGGCAGGAGCCTCATACTAAGGACTCAGGACCATGATAAGAACTCTGGACTTCATTGTCAGAACTTTGGAAACTTACTAAAGAGTTTCAGGTATGCAAGTGATCTGATCAAATGTATATCTTTGAATGTTGGCACTGACTGCTGTATAAAAAATCTGATCTTGGATGAAGGTGTGGTACAAATCTTGACTGGACGCTCTTAGATGAAGGGGTTAATTATGGTTGGTGTCAGTTGGAATGGATCATATGGACTGAACTATTTAGTAATTTGAAATGATAGATCTTTGTCATTAATTAGACGCCGGGGTACAATAGAAAGTGTCAAGTGTGATAATCTAGTTTGGAGTTTGATCGTATTGGTAGAAAGACAGATTGTGGTGAAAAGATGATGAGTTTGGGTTTTGACAGGTTGAGTTGTGTTGGTCCTTTGGGTATAGATTTCTAGTCTGTGGGTCATAAGCAAGACATCTGGGCTGAAGATAATTTGGGATTCAAGAAATACAGATGGTGATTTAAACTCTTGGTATGGGTGAGGGTGCGATGAGATGAGAAAAGATCCTTGTTTATCACCCAGAGGTGTTGTGGAATCCCATCAGTCAAGAGAGGACTGAAGGGAGATTAATTCACTAAATCAATGCATAAAAAATAAGATGTGCCTAGGGAGGTGGTCTAGGAATGGTGTGGGGGCAAAAGAGCAAAAACGTGCAATATGGTGGTACTCAGTATTTAAAGAATGAAGGTGTGATCAACATCATGAACTATTGCTGAGCAATAAATTATGTAGCATACAGAATAATATATTCCTGAGAATTTGCTTTACAGATTTGCAAGAGCAGTTTCAGAAAAGTGGTAGATTTAGAAATCAGGATAGAAAGAATTGTGAAGAGAGTGGGAATTAAAGAGCTGGGGTCAGGGAGGCTCCATACTTTAGGGGTGATTGGGGCTGAAAAATGCTAGAGACTTGAGCTTGTTAATACTGACAAGGGAGTCAGTCACCACCTATAATATATGTTGAGATATAAATGATCAAAGTCTAAATGAGGCTTTGCTCTTCAAACATCCCAAGTAAGAGTTCCTAACGGTAAAGGGAAGTGACTACATCAGAGGAACAGATGCGTGGCTGAAGCCATTCTTCAGCTATCATGGTTTCTAAAGGCATTTTCCTTCCTTACTGGGGCATAAGAATTTTGGTAAATCATAAAGCCAGTCATCTAGCTACAATGATTATCAGATTCATGTGTGTAATATACATCATCTGATGATGAATAAGTAGCCCCTGCAGCAGTTTATACCAGCATTTCTAAAACAGCCTTAAAGACTGGATACAAACCAATAAAGTTATCTTCCTTTTTTTTTCAATCATCCAAGACTCTAGCTAATGACTTACTAATGAGGAAATAAAAGGAGGAATTATACCTAGGAAGAATTTTAGTTATCTAAAGGAAAAATACTAGTGTGGCGCTGTAGGATAAAACACTGGACCTTACCATTGGTTTGAACTGCAAGGTAGGTGGTTCAAACCCAGCGGTCGCTCCTCAAAAACCCTATACAGGGTTGCTATGAGTCAGAATCAAGTTGACAGCACTTAACAACAACAAAGGAGGTATGTTGGCAGCAAACTTGAGTCAAGTTACAGGCTAATTTGGAATCCTCAAAGTATAATTATCACATATTAACAATTGTGAAACATGATTTTGTCATTGTCATCACTAAAGTTGGGATCTCAGCTAAAAGTTCCATCCAAGTAATTTGATGAGATACAGCCATTCTAGAGTACTCAAGTTAAAAGGATTTATCAAAATGCAAGTCATAGTTTTCTCTCACATTAAATTATCCAATATGATTTGAACATTTAATTTATTACTGGTGTCAGATATTGTCTGCTTCCTGATAGCAGGATATAAAATAAATTCAACTTGGGCAACTATAGCCAAATGACCACCATACCATCTCCAGGGCCATTATATGTGTGGATATTAATTTATTTCTTGAATAAAAGTTGTCTCTATTAGAGTATTATGATTCTCAGGATTTTCATTGGTTGATTTTTCAGAAGTAGATTACTATTCTTTCATTCCTAGTCTGTCTTAGTCTGGAAGCTCCACTGAAAGCTGTTCAGCATTATAGCAACACACAAGCCTCCACTGATAAATGGTGTCTGTGCATCAGACGCACTAGGCAGGAATCAAACCTGGGTCTTCCGTACACAGCACAAGAATTCTGCTATTGAATAACCACTGTCCCCCTTGAATAATAATAATAAATTCACTTGAGAAAAAACTTTCTAATTAACACCTTATATTCTGTTTTGTTTCTTGCCCAACTATTAATTTCAAGGAGGATGGACTCAAGATTTATAGTTTCAATGAGAAATGCTCCCATTGTCCAAGGATTTACTTCCATGGCAAAGGAAAATGAAAAAGAGAGAGAGAGAACAGTAGATAGGATGTGGAGAGATAGAGAAGACTTTATGTTAATTAAAGTTTAATATCCTATAAATCTGTAATTACAAAAATGTGATTGACTTTTTATAGAATAGTAGATATGAAATTAATACATTCATGTCTCTTACTGGAACAGGAAAAAGCAAAAAGAAGGAGAAATGCCAAGATGCTGACCTGTACCCACTAGTTGAAATGGAACTGTGTCCTTGTGATGTATTTGTATCGCAACCTTATGGAAACTGGTCAGATTGCATTCTTCCAGAAGGCAGAAGGGAGCCTCAGCGAGGATTATGGATACATGGAGACACCAAAGAATGTGGAGAAGGTGTGCGCTTCCGAGCAATAGCCTGCTCTGACAAAAATGGGAGACCTGTTGACCCTTCCCTCTGCAGCAGCTCTGGTAAGGAGATCGATGGGGAAAAACAGATGAGAATTATGATGTAGCTTCTAGGAGATTTGCTGAAGGTCTAGGATTAGTAGCTTTGCTCTTAAATAATTGTTTTAATCATACTTGTCAATATCACAATAGCACTTTGCCTCTCAAAAATACATACATGAAAATTTCAGTGATTGTATGAAATGTGATTGTTATGCATCTTGGATCTGTCTCTTTTTAGCTTCTGCAGATGTTTTTATTTTTATTTATTGGAAGGAAAACTCACAATCAGCTAATCATTCTATTCACAGCCTTTGTTTATTGGATCTTTGAATGTTGACAGAGTAAGGTTGCTCTACTTCATGAGAAAGTCAAACCCCAAATCAAATGAATACATTTTCTGGTGTTCTTTGGTGCCCTGAAATTATGCATAGAAAACAGCAGACCTTGAGTATCATCTAATGTAATTGGTAATATAGCAATGGAAAAGTTGATTTCAAACCTTTTGCAACCTAATCATAAATATACCTACTTTAATACAATAAAACTGTAGAAAAGAAACTAGCAAGTTAACTGGGAGCATTTTGTGAGATGCTGATGAGGGAGTTGTTAAATGCCATTTAGTCATTTCTGACCCATAATGACCCTGTATGGAGTTTCTGAGTAGTGGCTGATAAGCTTGAATCACCGACCTTGTGGTTCTGACTGCCTTTGCAGTCCAGCACATTACCCACAGTGCCATACCAGGACTAGAACTGTTTAAAGTGACTTGACTTTCAGAAACCGTAAACACATCACAATAAAGTAATGGGACCTATTTTAAAGAAAGCAAAGCTGAGTTGCTCTCATCTTTATTATTCTGCTTCTATTTGCATATTGAAATTTCTGCTATACTTCTCTATTTTTAGTACCTTTATAATAAAAGATTATACAAATTTATAGAGGTGTATAGTTATTCATTCATTTAATCAAAATTTATCTACTGAACACCTTTTATAGACCTGGTCCATTTCTATGATTTGGGCCTACATTTATGGGGAAATCAGGGACTCATAAAGTGTGCTGTCCAGTAAGAGGCTAGAAATAAAATAAATTAATAAAAGGAATTGTACTTTTTAAAATTAGCTCTTGCTATGCTGAGATAGAAAATATTTAGATGGATTGTAGAAGAGTTGTCACTGAAGTATTAACCTCACATGTGAACCGTGAGAAAGAGGTAGATCACTAGATATGATGCTAGACCATTTCAGGCTATGGAATAAGTATGCTCAGAGGATGTGAGGTAGGAAAGAGCTGGGTGCCCTTAGGAATTAAGACACACACACAAAAAAAAAGAAAGAAAGAAAATAAATGATGCCTTGGGGCTTGAGTGTAGGGAGTAAGGAAAAGTGTAAAGTGAGGCTAAAAAAGTAGGTAGAATCTTGAGGGACAAGGTAAGGAGTATGGATCTTATTTAAATGCAGTGTTCAGCAAGGAAGAGCTTTAATTGTGATCTGGTTGTTGTTGTTAAGTATCCTCAAGTCATTTTCAAAGCATCGTTGTTGCTTCTCCTAAGTGCCTTTGAGTCCGTTGGTTTTGACTCATAGGATTCCAACTCATAGCAACCTTGTATTGGGTTCTGACCCATAGCGACTCTGTATAGGATTTCTGAGGAGTTACTGGTGAGCTTGAACCAGCAACCATGTGGTTCAAATCAACTTTGCAGTCCAGTGCATTAACCCACGGCACCACACCAGGATTCCTTTTATAGCATAGTGACTTTTTATAAGGTTTCTGAGGTATGGCTGGTGGGTCTGAACTGCTGACTTTGTGGTTAGTAGTCCAGTGCTTATCCTACAGATATGAAGTGTGGGTAATGTGAACCAATTAAAAAAAAAATTTTTTTTAACTCCTATGTTTGTTGTTAAGTGCCACTGAGTCAGTTCTGACCTACAGTGACCCTGTGTAGTGTTTAGAATTATTTAAAAGGAGCAAAGACCTCGTTAGAGATTATTGTAGTCAAGATAAAACATGAATATAGGTTAGACTGTGGCACTGTGGTTAATGCGCTGGACTGCAAAGTCTGTTTGAATCTCAAGGTAAGTGATTCAAGCTCACCAGCTGCTCCTCAGAAAATCTATATAGAGTTGCTGTGGGTCGGAACCAACTTGACAGCAAAAATAACACATTGAATATAATTTTGAGATTAAAATTGACAAGATTATTTTTAAATGTCAGGCATCATTTTTGTGTATTATTCACTTCTAATTTTTCATGTGTATGTTCTTTTCTTTATTTGGAAAATAATCCTTTCAAGCTGTAAAGGGAAATATCCTCAAGGAGGAAAGAATGTTGTTAAAACTGAACCAATTTGCAGAGTAATCATAAAAGCTATTAGAAAGTTTGGAATGTTTTTACCAAATGAAATCAATCCTTTGATGATAAAGATTTATCATAGACTTATCATTTCTTTTTTTAATATGTACGGCAGGATACCTCATAGTACATTCTGTAATCTTTGTCACTATTAGAGGTATGACACACAACAGTATATCAAGGAAAAAACATTTGCTATTAAACACATTATATATATGTATGTATATGCATACACATAGATTCCTGGTGTGATGCTCCAAGTTAATGCACTGGATGGCAAAGTTGGTTTGTAATGCAAGGTCGATAGTTCAAACTCACCAGCAGCTCCTTGGAAACCCTGTACAAGGTCTCTATGGGTCAGAATCAACTCAATGGCACTTAAAAACAGCAACATACGTATATATACACATATACAAAAAAAAGCTCATGGAAAAATTCCAGTATATTTTTATTAATTTTTCCATGAACCTTTTGAATCCAACTTCTATAGATCCATGATTTAGCTTACTATTAAGAAGGACATTTTATTCACAGATAAACTGAGGCATAATGCATTGACCTCAATTGGATGCTCTCTCAATCTGCTTCTTCTAATAAGAAAAGTAAATACTTTTCCCTTTTAAACATTTACATGGACTCAGTCTCATATCTTCATTTGGAGGACACAGTGGGATTCCCCAAGAAACATCAGGGAGAATTCCTCATGAAAATAATTATCCCTCATGCTGAGGTATCCAACATTGCCCCTGGTGGTTCACATAGCTATGGGCCATGCAGTTTAGGAAATTTTGGATTGTCCCTTCTAATAATGGATACTGTGAATGATTCAAATCACAGGTAATCCAAGGCAAGTCTGTTTGACTTTGAAAGCATGAAATGGGTGGGTCAAAAGCTAAAATTGTATTTAATTTAAAAAAATAAAAGTACTTTTATGTCTTTGTCCTGGTTGCAAATCTTGATGAGGTCCACCGCTGCTGGTTGATAAAGTGTGATGGTTTCCCCACCTGTGTGAAGCCAGGTCACATGGTGCCGATTGACACAACAAAAATAACATGTGCCAAAATAATAGTATTGGAGGAAAACCCTGGTGTGGCGCTGTGAGGAAAAGCACTGGACCACAAGGTTGATTTGAACCAATAGGTCGGTGGTCCAAACTCACCAGTCACTCCTTGAAAACCTATACAAGATTGCTATGAGTTGGAATGGCACTTAACAACAGTAACAAAAACTTTCACGTATGTCTTAACCTAGTGATGTTTAGTAACCAAAATAACATGACATCATAGTACCTACTCAGATGCTACCATTCTTTAGTTTTGTCTCCCTCTTCCTGTTCCTTTTTTCACCCCTCCCTTCATTCTGACTCTGCTGAGATATCATTTCTCTGACCTCACTAATCAATCAGTCCACCTCATAATTTCCTATTCACTTTACTAGTTTTACTTTTCGTTATGCACTTATCCACCACCTGATATAACATACATTTAATTTTTGTTATTATTGCTTAATGTCTCTCTCCCTCTACTAGAATGTAAAGCTCCAAGAAAGTGAATGTTTATGTTTGTTTGTATTTTCTGTTATTCAAAACATATTTTAAGTACATGAGTAAATCATTAGATCTTAATGATTTCTACTACTAAATTTATATAATCTTTTGTTCTCCTCTTTCTGTCTACTGCTTCCTGGTTGTAGATGTTACAAAATTCTCTTTTTTTTCATGTTCCTGGAAGCTGTCATGCAAAATTCCATCAGTCAAACCACTAAAATGTGAATGTGTCCACTCCAGTGGCCTGCTTCTAGTCTTTCCAAGCTTTTCCTTCACACCCCAGCTCCTTCCTTATGTAACACTTTATCTTTCTTGCATGAAGCGTCTCATGCTTTAGGATAAGCTCAGGTGTTGTTCTTTTCAACCAGCATTCTCCCTACTTCCATTTCCATGAGGTGTAGGGGACCCTCTTGAGGACTCTACTCACTTTCGAGATTGTCTTTATAACTGTATTTAGCAGTAATATAT